GTTTTTACAGGAGACAACTACCTTTTTTCAGAAAAGGAGATGAAGGTGCAAGAAGTTTTGCCGCGGAACTTCAACGGTCTGGGGTGGAAGACTACTTTCTTGTTATATCAAATACGAAATCATCCGCAGATGTTGCGGAATTGTACGCTATCAAACCTAAAAATGTGGTAGGAAATGAGCAAGACATTCTCGGAAGAATCATCGAATTTGGTATGTCTGGCTGACTGATTTATGGCAATATACATTGGGCTTACTCAGTCCTTGCACAAGATAATTTGCCAGGTCATGGTACGATTTCGACAAGGTCTACACATGGACCGCAATCGACCTGCATGTCAACGACACCATTAAGAACGCAAGCTCCCCCGAGCAAAACAACACCCAAAACGCCAGTTCCTCCGGTCGAACCAACAACTACAGGTAAACTTGTCGTAGAGCGGCTTGCTCTAGAACTGCTTTGGAGCGCTATTTTGGCTTCTTGCTTGAGAAATATGTCTCTAGAAAACCCACCCATAAAACGAAACTGCTTGTTCGTTGGAGACCTTTACAATTATCAAGACAACGGTGACTTTTACAGACTAGTGAGTTTTAAAGTTTATATCAAAGCTTTTATGCAAATTTCAGCTATATATTTTAAGGAAGCTGAGCTTCTAAATAACGTCGGATACGACATCTTTGAGGAAACAGCAAGTTCACGTATTGCTTTATGGGCATATGGATACACGGATTTCCCACAAACTGTCAATGCTTCTTTGGAGGATATGAGCGAGGATTACGAACAGTTTGCGGCGCTACTGATCAAAATGAAGTACGTTGAAACCAGCAGTGCGATATCTACAAGAAGGTAGTGTTAACGATTTTCTGAATTAAAGTTACAAAGAGTTAAGTTGAGCAGACGAAGTTAAGAAAATTTCCTTTTATAGCGCAATTGAAGCAATCAATGTAATGTATGACACGAAAGAGCAATTGGATTGCTTGGTGTTTCTGACTGCTCAGTAAGCTCAATTTTGAATACTCGCCTTTTAGAACCCGTTTTCATAAGCGTCTTTCTTCAGAAAGAACACAGAAGATCTTCCTCAAATAGCTCCAAGAAATGTGGAGTTCAAGACTGTTGTGGTGGTCGGCCTTAATGGTACGCTCATTAACTGGGACTAAATTTGCTTAATCAAAGCAAGTATTATTTTAAAAAA